GCTCAGTTGGTTGAGCATCTGCCTTTGGCTCTAGTGGTGATCTCAAGGTCCTGGGATCCAGCTGTGCCTCCAGGCCCCCACTCAGTGGGGAGTCTCCTCCCTCTTCCCCCTGCCCCTCCCACCTACTTGGGCATGCTTTCTCTCTCTCTCTCTCAAATAAATAAATAAAATCTTCAAAATAAATACATAAAATTAACCTGTTTCTTTTTAACTTGGCTACTAGAAAATTAGAAATTACACATGCCATGCGTGATGTATTGCTGCGGGACCGGACTGATCTATTATCTGAATCTCTAGACTCATGTGAGATACTTTTTCACAGCAAGGTCAAGGGTTGCTGCTGGCAGGTTATGCAGGTATGCAGCATACCCAGAAACTATGACAAAGGCACATCTTGCTGTGTGACCTTGGGCAAGTCACTTTCTCTCTCTGAGTCTTACTTTCCTCCCCCTTCCATCAGAACGATCTGAAATTATTTCATTTCTTGGTGATTGCCCATCTGCCTCTACTGTCTAGGATGTGAACCCATGGGACCAGAGACCTGGCTTTCCTCCCATTCACCTTCTGAGCCTAGCACATTAGTAGGTGCTTGATAAATCTGGTAAACGGAGGACTAGGGAGTTTGGTCCCTGTTTACAAGGACCCCGCCCCCGCCCCCCAGGAGGAGCTGGGCAAGATTGCTGGGAGAACAGCAGCTGGCTGCTGGGATCCTTTCCTGCGGAAGCAGGGAAGTGACCCCTGTGGATCACTGCTTCTCTTCCCACCCCTTGTTCTGGGGGGCTGCAGGCCGGTTTGAGGCCTCAGTGATTGAAGAGCGGCGGAAGGGGGCTGAGGACTTGCTTCGCTTCACTGTTCACATCCCTGCACTCAACAACAGCCCCCAACTCAAGGAGTTCTTCCGGGTATGTGTCCCTGCTTGTCCCTCCCCAGCACCTGGGAAACCTGCCTGCCCACTAGGCTGCACCCCAAGACACCCCCCACCCGGTCCCTGTCTTTCTCTCCTGCAGGGTGGGGAGGTGACCCGGCCCTCTGGCATATCCAGAGACCTGCACATCCTGCCACCCCCTCTGATCCCCACACCGCCTCCAGAGGAGCCCTGGTTGCCACAGCCACTCCCTGCAGAGAGGAGAGGCCTTGAGGAACTGGAAGTGCCAGGTATGTTGAGGTTGGGGAGGGAGCCAGGATTGGCGGGTCTGGGGGTGATGGAGGGCATGCACTTGCTGCTCACTGAGCTTAGGAAAAATTCTGGGCTATGTCCCAGCTCCTCTACCACTAAGGTGCTGAGAAGCTCTAGCCAGGCCACTTTCCTTCTCTAGGCTTTAGTGTCTTAATCTGTAAGAGGGGTGCCAACCCTAAGAGTAGGCTTGTTCATGCCCTTGGGTGCCACAAGGAATTAGTGAGAAGGTGATTCCATTTTGTTTTTTTTTTTTAATTTATTTATTTATTTTTTTTTATTTATTTATGATAGTCACAGAGAGAGAGAGAGAGAGAGAGAGAGAGAGAGAGGCAGAGACATAGGCAGAGGGAGAAACAGGCTCCATGCACTGGGAGCCCGACGTGGGATTCGATCCCCGGTCTCCAGGATCGCGCCCTGGGCCAAAGGCAGGCGCCAAACCGCTGCGCCACCCAGGGATCCCGGTGATTCCATTTTGAAAGCTAGGAAATGATAAGGGCAGGCATGAATGTTCCCGATGATGTGTTCCACAGTGGATCCCCCACCATCCAGCCCTGCCCAGGAGGCCCTGGATCTCCTCTTTAACTGCGGGAGCACCGAGGAAGCATCCACTTCCCCAGCCCGAGGCCCCCTCACAGAGGCCGAGCTTGCCCTCTTCGACCCCTTCTCCAGGGAAGGTAACGAGCTGGGGCTAGCAGAGGGCAGAGGGGGGCTGAGGCAGGGGCATGGAGAATGGGCAGAGCCACCACCTAGCTTGTGTAGTGCTTGGGTAAGTCCTAGAAAGGTGCCCCATGACAGGCAGTTGACAGCCTTGGTGAGAATTGGAAGCAGACACCCTGGTGCCAGGACCCATGAGCTGGCTGCCCCTGGACAGTGCAAGCCTGGAGGAAGGAAAGGGAGATCTCAGGGACAGGTAGATCTTCTCCCTGAGAAAGCTTTGGAACAAGCAGGGATCACACTGTCTTGGGGGAGGGTCAGAGTTCCTTCAGTTGGAAGCCCAAGGGAGGGGCGTCCTGGCCAGCTCAGGGTGGGGATGTAGATCCTGAAGGCAGGAGAGGCCTGATGGTCAGGGGGTGGGTGAGGCTTGGGCCCAGAGGGCAGCACAGGACGCCCTGCAGCAGCTGCTAGCACATGGGGGCACCCCAGACCTAGCATGGAAGCTGGAACCGCCCTCCCCCACCCCCTCTCCATCCCCCCACCCCACAAGGACGTCTGGATCCCGACCTCCTTGTTAAGATCCAGGGGAGCTGAGAGTCCCAGGCTCTGAGACACTGGACCTTTAAATTCTTCAAGTCTCTGGCTTTGTGCTTATTCCAGCTGGGGTGTTGAAGTGGCTCCTCTGCTTCAGGATCATCACGAAAGGGTTTCAGTTTGGAATCCTCCAATATTTTTAAGCCCATTTCATTGGCTTTTCTTACTTTGCCCTTCGGGGACCTCCTGGGGCAGCCTCTCAGCTTTGTGATCAGTGACAGGCATTTGAGTTCATTCACCCCAGATTGGTTCCAAATCAGAACCTCAATCTTCCATCCAATGTTCAGCTCCACACCACCACCCTGCTCGCCTGGGAGGAGTATCCTTTTACTCTTCTGGTTCTGCTTCCTCCTGTCCCTGATCCTTCGGCCTTTCCCCAGCTGGGTTGGGGGAAGAAGAGATTAGAGAGAGAAGGTGGGGGTGGTGTCACCTGCCTGCCTTGCTCTAGCTGAAGCCCCAGGCGTGTCTGGTGGTCAGATGCTTGGAGAGGAGCCTGTCATGGCTCCTAGAATGTAGCTCCCATGACACATTCCTTCAGCCCATAAGAAAGCTCCCAAACTCTTGTCCCGCCAGAGCCTGGAAGTGCAGTTTGCTCAGATGCTGTCTCATCTCCCTGCCCCATTGTTTGGGCACCTCCAGCAAGTCCCTCACCATCAGAATCCTCCAGGCAAGGAGCTGGCACTTGTCTCTCTCTTCAGCACATATATCGAACGCTTGTAATCAATGTTTTACAGCATCCCAAGAATACTTCTGCCTTTGGCTCCGTGAGCAACACAGGGAGGGCTTTATGTCCAGCTGGGAAGTGAGAGGTCGTCTTTCCCACTTGCAGGAGGCCCCAGTCTCTTCATGGGGTCACTTGGGTGAGGTTGGAGAAATGCCACCCGTCCCTCTCCAGGCCACTGGTGTGCCATGGTGCTTTCTGTTCCAGCTCCTTCCCTTCAAAGGCCTTTTCACCAAAGATGGGCCAAATCTCTAGCCTTCTTTTGTGTAAGCTGCAGAGGGGATGTTTGGCCACCCAGTCCCGGGGTACATAATGAGACCTTCTCTCTGGGTATCTGGTGAGGATATCCACCACCCACTATCTTCACATTTGTGTCCTCAGCTGAAGTTGTAACACCTGAGGTTCTCTGAATCTATTATTTTACCATTCCAAGGTTTGGAGCATTTCTACCCTTGGCCTGGCTTAGTTGGTCTAGCATCCTTCAGATGGAATTCTTGAATTTATAGATAGGAGGGAGGTAGGCCCAGTGACCCAGACCTCACAAAATAATGTTAATACAAAAGAATTACTGAAAGAATTAGGAAGGTAAAATTGTTTTTTACAAAAGCACAGGAACTCCACCAGTTAAATAGATCATGGCTAGTCTGTTTGGTACAAATGGATTTTGAACTGCTCAGGCTCTGCTTCTGTCCACCTGGGGCAGGTTGGTACCTTGCTGGGCAAGAGAAGTCTGGGGATGGATGGCAGGCCCTGAAAAATGGAGGACAGTGTGGCCTGAGCCCTCCATATCTGATCATAGATAGTTCAGGCCCCAGTCCAACCCACATGGGTGAGCTGGCAGCGATGGAGGCAGAGCCTGAAAGGCTGGACCAGGAACCCTGGGAGCCTGGAGGGCAGGAGGAGGAAGAGGACGAGGAAGGACGGCCTGTCCCTGCCTATCTGAGCCAAGCCACAGAGCTTATCACCCAGGCTCTTCGGGATGAGAAGGCAGGTGCCTACCCTGCAGCTCTGCAGGGCTATCGGGATGGCGTGCATATCCTGCTGCAGGGAGTTCCTGGTGAGTATGGATGGGAAGGTGGAGGGTCAGGCCTAAGGTTTCAGATGGTGGAGTGAAAGGAAGGGAAAATGAAAGACTCAGAGGATCAGAATTTCTCTTCACTGACCAACTGTGTAACCTTGGGCGGTTTCTTTACCTCTTGGGGCCTCAATTTTCTTATTTGTAAAACGGGGAGAATAGATCTGATTCCCAGGGAGGTAGAAAAAGACATGTGTTGGTGCTCTGTGAACTGTAAGGGGCTAGACCAGGGGTTTTGAACCCAGAAACCTCTGCTGAGCCATTTTCTTTCCACAGGTGACCCGTCACCTGCCCGCCGGGAGGGTGTGAAGAAGAAGGCAGCTGAGTACCTTAAGAGAGCAGAAGAAATCTTGCACCTGCACCTGCCCCAACTCCCATCTTGAGAGGGAGTGAGCCCCTACCCAGGACTCTAGCTCCAGCACTGCCAGCTGCTCCCTTTTACTCTCCCTGGGGCCTGGCCCTATATCCTGGTCGTGTAACTCTGGGGGTCATTTCTGTATGTAACTGGACCAAGAATGAAACAAATAATGAATTCAAAGCTCCTTGACCACAGCTGCCTCTTTGGAATCAGGAGAAAACATTTCTGATCCTGCCTCTTGTGTGGGCAGCATCTCTTGCTGTAAACTAGCTGTTTACCCATCTAGAACAGGGGTCTGCAAACTGGGGCCTGCATCCACCTGTCTCCCATGGCTTTTTTTTTTTTTTTTTTTTTGTAAGGCCCGTAAACTAGAATGGTTTTTACATTTTTTGATAGCTGGTAGAAAAATCAGTAGTATTCTGTGACAGATGAAAATCACATAAAACTTAAGTGTCTAAAAATTCTGTTGGAACACAGCCACACTCATTCATTTCATCTTGTCTGTGGCGGCTTTCCCACCACGCCAGCAGGTTGCCTAGTTGCGACCTGCAAATTCCTTTGCAGAAAAAGTTTGCTGACACCTGATCTAGAAAATGGGGAGAATAGTCTCCAGGGAAAGGAGTAGAGAGTGACAGTAAGGCCAATTGAACCAGGCTATCTGGTGACGGGGAGGAGGAAGTAGAACCCGTGTTAGGGTTACCCATCGGGGGCGGTACCCAAAGGCTGAGCGGGAGTTACGCGGGCTGAAGCCCGGGAGGGCGTGGCCCCGCCCCTCCGGCAAAGTGATTGGTCGTGGAGGGACTACATGCTGGTGCATCATGGGAGTGGGACTCTCAGTGGACTGCGCGCAGCGCATCGCGGAGCCTTTAGTAGGCGCCGGAGTCGGCAGTGGCGGCGCTGAAGTACCACGCGGGGTATCTCGGGAGGCCCGCTCCAGGCCTCGTGGGAGGGACAAGGCCCGGGGAGAGGACTGCGGGGGCGGGGTAGGGCGGCTAGGCGGGGCCCGGCTGGGATCACCCCGCCGGGTCGCTGGAGCCCGGGCCGGCCCGGCCCGCTCCCGGATAGAATGGGGCGAGTGGCTGCCCCCGGCTCCGGGATGCTGAGAGCCTGTCCTTTCCCTTCAGCGCCCCCATGCCCGGCTGCGAGTTGCCCGTGGGCACCTGCCCGGACATGTGCCCGGCCGCCGAGCGCGCCGAGCGCGAAAAGGAGCGCCGCTTGCACCGCTTCGAGGTGGCGCCCGGGTGCCGCAGCGACCCGCCCCGCGCGGACCCGCAGCGCGCCGTGAAGGAGTACCAACGGCCGGCTGCCGGCAAGCCGCGGCCCCTGCCGAGCCAGCTGCGTCCGCCGAGGGTGCTGCTGGCCACCGTGCGCTACCTGGCCGGCGAGGTGGCCGAGCGCGCCGATGCATCCCGCGCCGAGGTGGCCAGCTTCGTGGCGGATAGGTTGCGTGCGGTGCGGCTGGACCTCGCCCTGCAGGGCGCGGACGGCGTCGAGGCGGCGGCGGTGCTGGAGGCGGCGCTGGCCGTGCTGCTGGCAGTGGTGGCGCGGCTGGGACCCGACGGGACGCGCGGGCCAGCGGACCCGGTGCTGCTGCAGGCCCAGGTGCAGGAGGGCTTCGGTTCTCTGCGGCGCTGCTACGCGCAGGGCGCCGGGTCGCGTCCCCGCCAGGCCGCCTTCCAGGGTCTCTTTCTGCTCTATAACCTGGGTGAGTCGGAGTCTGGGCGGCAGGACCGCGGGGGTGCGGGGGGTTAGTTAGGGTAGGGGAGGGTGCCTCCACGGGGACAGCGGAGGCCGAGGAAGGAAAGAGAAGCTTTAGAGTCTCACCATTAGCTCCCTCCTCATCCCTAACTTGTTTTTTTTTTTTTATTTTTTTAAGATTTTATTTATTCCTGAGAGACACATAGAAGAGAGAGGCAAAGACATAGGCAGATGGAGAAGCAGGCTCCCCACAAGGAGCCCGATGTGGGACTCGATTCCAGCATCCTGGGATCACGCCCTGGGCCAAAGGCAGATGCTCTACCGCTGAGCCACCCAGGTGTCCCCCTAACTTCTAAATGGGTATTGAGTTAATGAGCAACACCCACCAATCCCCGACGTGGGCCTTCTGGCCTGTCCCTTCCCCTATTTGGGTCTCAAATTTTTTTTTTTTCCTAATAAAAGTGGAGAGGACGGAGTTGGAACGGAAAAATTGGCCTGGTGATTTTCAAACTTTTTAAGACTTTCATCAGTGTTGCAAAGCAGCCAAGAACATATCCCCATGAATGTCTCAGACATTAGATCCTTCCTATGGATGGATGGTGCATTCTAATAAGTTTTATTTTTTTATTTATTTTATTTTATTTATTTTATTTTATATTTTATTTTTTTATTTTGTTTTATATTTTATTTTATTTTATTTATTTTATTTTATTTATTTAATTTTATTTATTTTATTTAATTTTATATTTTATTTTATATTTTATTTTATTTATTTTGTATTTTATTTTATATTTTATTTTATTTATTTTATTTATTTTATTTTATTTTATTATTTTATTTATTTTATTGTAATAAAATGATCTTGATTTCAAAACTTACTAATGGGCCAGAAGCCTCAGTTTACAAAAGTGGCCCAAGGTTCCGGTGTCCGTGATTCTCCTGAAAGGGAAGCAGGGGCAGAATGTCCTCAAAGCAAAGGCCTTACCAGGTAGATAGATAGGGAAGAGATGTGGTAGAGCCAGCTTCTTAATCTGTGCAGCCCCTGGAGCAGTGCGGAAAGGGCTGGGTTTGAAGTCAGAAAACTTGAATTTTGTTGTATTGAATTCTACTACATTCGAACTCTAAGTCTTTGACAAGTCATGAAATTATCTGGGTCTGTCTCCCTCATCCAAAAACAATGCCTCCCTTTATTAGGAGGATTCAGACTGTTTGAAAGGGCTTAGAATAGGCTCAGGAAGCAGCTGATAGAGAAAAGGGGACCTAAGGGGAACTTGGCCCCCCCGGGGAGGGGGGGTGCCCAGAGTGGAAGGTAGGTGGGCCAAGGCTGGAGATGAGCTTGGTGGTAGGCCAGGGGAGGTGGGCGAGGTGGGCGTGGCAGAGGACCCCAGCTGGTGGGAGGGTAGATGGGGGTTGGCCTAAGCAGATGGGGTGCCAGGCGGGCGGGGCCCTGGAGAGACTCTGGAATTCTCACCTGGGCACCTCCCTTACAGGCTCCGTGGAGGCCCTTCACGAGGTTCTACAGCTACCTGATGCCCTGCGTTCCTGCCCGGCCCTGCGCAGGGCCCTGGCTGTGGACTCGGCCTTTCGCGAAGGCAACACTGCCCGCCTATTCCGCCTGCTGCGGATCCTGCCCTACCTGCAGAGCTGTGCTGTGAGGTGCCACATCGGCCGTGCCCGCCGAGGAGCCCTGGCCCGCCTTGCTCATGCCCTGAGCACCCCCAAAGGCCAGACCTTGCCCCTGGGCTTCATAGTCCACCTGCTGGCCCTGGATGGGCCTGAAGAGGCACGGGACCTGTGCCAGGCCCACGGACTGCCCTTGGATGGACAGGAAAGAGTTGTGTTTCTTAGGGGTCATTACACTGAGGAAGGGCTGCCACCTGCTGGGACCTGCAAAGTGTTGGTAGGGAGCAAACTCGCAGGGCGCACCCTGGAGGAGGTGGTCATGGCAGAGGAGGAAGATGAGGGTGTGGACAGACCCAAGTCCCCAGCATGAGGAGGAGCTGTGCACTCTCCCAGCCCAGGACTGGATCCAAGCACTCAGGTTTCTTTTTTCATAATTCCTACACAATAAAAGGAACTTGTTTTGTAGGGACAATAACTATGCTTGATTTATTTGGGAGAGGGCAGGGAGGAGTTGAGACATGATAGCCATATGGGGGAAAAGAGCTCAGAGTAGCCGTACTGGGACTAAGCTGTTGCCTCAGAAGCTTGATAGGGTTCTGTGATTGTCCTCAAATTGGCATCAAGGGAGACTGGGTAATAACCCCCCCCCCAAAAAAAAAAAAAAACTGGAATGGGAGAAGGTTAAGATGAAGGATGGTGGGGAGCTGGGGTCAGAAGTCAGCCACAGGCCTTAGGGTGGCTGCTGCGCCCTCCAGGGCCACCACCAAGATGCTGAGCTGCCTTTGCACTTCAGCCCAGGCGGGAGATCCAAGGCTTGTGTTCATGGCCCTGGAGCAGGCATTAGCCAGGCCTGGAAATGTGGCCACGGAGCCGGTGCGGGGTGCCCAGAGCACATGGCTGATAGGAGATATGGGGGAGAAGCAAAGTCATTTGGGAAACGGAGAAGAGAGGAGCTTCAGCCTAGAACAGGCTCTTGTCCTGTATACAGCTAGGCACAAAGTGCCTCCCCACCGTCTCTGAAAGCTGGGGACCTTACAGCAATGGCCCTAAGAGATCTAGGCTACGGTCCCAAGGTGACCTTGACTGATTTGCCTCCCATCCTTTGAGCGTGATTCCCCAGCTAACAGCAAAGGCCAGCAAAACTCTTAGATTCTCCTCCCTCGGGATCCCTGGGTGGCCCAGTGGTTTAGCACCTGCATTCGGCCCAGGGCATGATCCTGGAGTCCCAGGATGGAGTCCCACATTGGGCTCCCTGCATGGAGCCTGCTACTCCCTCTGCCTGTGTCTCTGCCTCTGTGTGTGTGTGTTTCTCATGAATAAATAAATAAAATCTTTAAATAAAAAAAGATTGTCCTCCCTGAGATGGGTGCCCATTGCCCAGCCTCTCCCCATGGCACTTCCCAAGAACTTTGGAGCAGGCTCACCTGTAGTAGCGTTCTTCTGGGAAGGCTCGTGGGTTTAGGAAGGTCCGTTCCAAGAGCATAAGCTGGTCATTGAGCATCCGGACCTGCAGGGGGCTGGAAATGGCAGGACCATCTCATCACCCTGGAACTAGCAGCCCAGCTGCCAGCCTGCATCCTACCCTGGATGCCACCCTCCCAGACATCTGTTTGGTGCCCTTGCTCACTCAGGGGTGGCCTTCTGAAGCGCTGATATGCGTTGATCCAAGGCCCCAGCTGCCCCCTCAAACTTCTCCACTGCGGTCACCAGAGGTACTGTTGGGAACAGCCAGCATCTTAGCCCTGGAGGTGCAGGGCTCCCCGTACCTTCATGTCAAGGGGGCTCCATACCCAGGCTGATGCTGTGCTGCTCCAATAGAACCCCAAGGTTCTGCTGGGCAGCCTGCAGAAAACTTCGGAGCGTCTCTCCATAGTCACTGACGTTAAGAGGAAGGAAGAGGCTGTCGCTGAGCCTGAGAAGCACACTCCCTGCTGTCCGGGCCACAGCCTGGTGGCTGCTGAAGCCTGCAGGGAGGGTGACCAGGCCAGGGCTCAGTCTTCAGCCATCCTCCCCCAGCCTCAGGATTCCCCTTTCCCCACTCCTCACCGGGGTCCACAAATTTGTCCACATAGCCAAAGGTGTCGAAGGCTGTGTGGTAGGTGGGGTAGATCCTGGCTGAGGTCTTGCTCTAGGGGAATAAGGCCAAGATGACAGGCTTGGGATGAGAAGTCGGAGGAGTTGTACCAACAGTGAACTCTACAACACGGGAATGCTACATCCATGAGATAGGTTCTAGAATTCATACTTTACAGAGGAGGATACTAAGATCTCTGGAATCAGAATGCCTCTTTTAAGATTTTCTTTTTTAAAATTATCTCTATACCCAACATAGGGTTTGAACTCCTGACCCCAAGGTCAACAGTTGCATGCTCCACTGATTGAGCTAGCCAGGTGCCCCAGGATGCTTTTTAAGTCAATATCATCCTCCAACTAACTGGCAGTGTGTCACACACACCCCTCATAATGCATATCACAGTGTTGTATTTTAAATTCAGTAGTATCTTAAATTTAATAAAATAACATTGGCGAGCATAAAGAGATCCTCAGGTTGAGAAACAGCCCAGGGAGCATAGCTAATAAGTGGTGGAGCTGGACTCAGTCTGCACTAGAGAGGATTTAAGAGAGGAAGGGACTGGGGAACAGAAGGGTGGCCACTCACCCGGTCATAAGTGTAGGCGATGTCCATGGAGGAGATGCCCAGGAAGTGAATGAATGGTGCATAGTCGCTACCAGCACCCAGAGAGCCAAGGCTGCAAAATGGAAAGATGGTCAGGCTGAGGGTGCTGGGCCAGACTGCCCCCCTCTCTCAGGGCCCCAGCCCTGGCCATGGGCTCACCTGGGGACCAGGCCATAGACTGGGCTGCTACGGTTGAAATACCGGATCCAGTTGTCATAGATGCTGAGGCCACCCAGGCTTGGTGCGGGGATCTGACCCGGAGGGGAGTTCAGTCTGAGGCTGACCCCTCCCCAGACCCAAGAGGCATCTGCCACCAGGCCCACCCAAGTCTCCATCCTATGCACAGGCCTGCGGGTCCTATAAGGCCTGCGCCCAGCCTCAGCCCCTCTAATAAGTACCAGCTTCAGACCCGTGCCTCCCCTCCATTACCCCTTGAGCCACCCAACCCCCCCACGCCCCGGCAGGGACCATCCTCTCCACCCCACCCCCCTTCACCTGTTTGGAGGCCGCAAAGATGACGCTCTGGACCGGGGGTGTCCCCTGAGCCCTCAAAGTCGCATTGGCTGTGGGAAGATCAGAAAGACTATTCGGGCCGCTGCCCCCTCATTTCCCCTCTCTCCCAGTCAGCCCATCCGCCCCACGTACCAAACACGGAGATGTCCACATTGATGTAGGCCACGGCACGCTCCTGCAGCTTGCTGAAGAATTCCTGCGGGAGGGAGGCCCAACGTGAGCCCAGCCAGGCCCAGCACCGGGATCCTCTCCACAGCCCACCTTGTCTGGCAGCTCACCTCAGTGAATTCTGTGGAGCCAATGAGCCCAAACTCCTCGGCCCCCCAGCTTGCAAACACTATTGATCTGCGGGGACGCCAGGTGCCTGGGGAGAGGGATAAAGGCCTGGAGGTCAGGATCCAGGAGTGGCTTGGAGGAAATTCTGGACTCGGAGAGGAGGAAGGGCCCCTGGGCAGGGCAGCTAGCCACAGGAGGTAGGTCCTGCTGCCTCTCCAGCCTAGCCTTCTCCAGGTGCCATCCTCCTTCCAGCCTCCCGCCTGTGCTGGGACCCTGCTCAAACACTGCCCACAATACCAATCTCAGCTGCTCCCTTCTGCCCCAGTGCCCTGCCTCCCCGTCCTTATAGGTATGCTTTGAGTAGACCTCCGGACCCTCCATCTCCAATTGTCTCCTTCGGGAATCCCAAGCCGAATTCTCCCGCAACCTTCTCCACTCGGTGATAATACATTATCCATCCAATCCTTATAACAACACCTTGAGGGACAGAGCCTTATCTCCATTTCATAGTTGAAACTGAGCGGCCCAAAAGGTAAATGACTCACCCAGAGTTACACAGCTGGTGGGCAGCAGAGCCAGGGTCAAATCTAGGGTCTGGCTCCGGGGTCCAAGGCCCTAACAAATGGTCCATACTGCCTCTCACAGGCTCTGGCAGCCTCCTTTTCATCTCTAGTCTCTGCCCACATCGCTCTTGCCATGGTCTCCAGCCACCTCTGGGCAGCCCTGGCTCCCTTGCCCCTTACGTCCTCCAGACCCCTCAGCTTCCACAGCACTACATGTTCCCAGTTGTGCTTCCAACTTGAGCTCCAACTCAGTACCCTTTGACCATTTATCAGCTTTTCATTTTATTTTTTAAAATAGGCTCCATGCATAGAGCCCAGCATGGGGCTTAAACTCATGACCCTGAGATCAAGACCTGAGCTGAACTGCTTGAGCCAGTCAGACACCCCTCTCAGCCTTTTGATTGATCGACTGATTGATTGATTTTTGAAGATTCTATTTATTTGAGAGAGAGAGAGAGAGAGAGAGAGAGAGAGAGAGAGAGACAGCACCAGCAGGGGGAGCAGCAGAGGGAGAGGGAGCAGCAGACTCCCTGCTGAGCAGGGAGCCAGAGGTGGGGCTTGATCCCAGAACCCCAGGACCATGACCCAACCTAAAGGCAGATGCTTAACCAATTGAATCACCCAGGCGCCCCTTAGTTTTTTTTTGTTTGTTTGTTTTAAATGAAAATTGTAAAAGTATGTAAGGATTATACGCTTGCAATAACAAATTTTCACACTCTTTCCTGCCCCAAATGCATAACCTGTATCTAATCAGATGAATCCAAATTGAGGGACACTCAACAAAATAATACCAGGATCATAAAAGACAAGAACTAAGGAACTATTACAGATGATACATGCCATTACCATACATGCAATGTGTGATCCTGGATTGGCCCTCGGATCTGAAATTTCCTTTTGTTCTAAAGGTCATTATAAGAACAATCAGCAACATTGTTAATTTCCTGATTCTGATCATTATACGGCGGCCATGAAAGAAAACGTCCTTATTTTTAGGAAATACACAGTGATATGTTTATGGGTAAAGGTGCAGCATCTCTGCAACTCTCAAACACTCCAGAAAACCATGTAAAAAGAGCCAAGGTGGTAAAATCTTAATATCAGGAGTATCCGGCTTCTTTGTACTATTTTGGCAACTCTCTTATAAGTCTGAAATTACTTCAAAATAAAACACTTTAACAACAATAGAGGCAGAAATTCCTACACTACCAGAGGGGGTAAAGCCACAAGCCCAGCTTCTCTCCGCAAGCTAGTCCGTTATCAGTTGATCTTAACCACACCTGTGGTTTCACATGTCATTTATGCCACCAACTCCCCAGTTTATCTCTAGAGTCTCTTTCCTGACCTTGGAGACCAGCACTTGCAACTGCCTGCTTGCCCTCTCCCTGAGAAATGTCTCTTAGGCACCTCAAAAGCACCATGTGAAGGGGCATGCATGTATAAAGATGTAATTTGTGACATCAGTACCATAAACGAGAAGGACAGAGCTTTATAGAAGTAGAACTTTTGTATGAGATTAAGTGGGTATCAATTCAAATTATATAGTTGTAACTTTAAGATGTTACATGTACTGGAAGATGAAAAAGTTCTAGACATGGATGGTGGTGATGGGTGCACAACACTGAATATACTTAATGCCACTTAACTGTACACTTAAAAATGGTTAGGAAGGTAAACTTTAGAGGCGCCTGGGTGGCTCAGTCGGTTGAGCGTCTGACACTTAATTTCAGCTTGGGTCATGAACTAGGGGTTATGGGATTGAACCCCATGTTGGGCTGCGTGCTGGGAGTGGAGCCTGCTTGGGATTCTCTCCCTGCCTCTCTCTCTCCCTCTCTCTCTAAAAAAAATTAAATTAAAAATAAAATTTTGGGCAGCCCTGGTGGCTGAGCGGTTTAGCGCCGCCTTCAGCCCAGAGTGTGATCCTGGAGACCTGGGATCCAGTCCCGCGTCGGGCTCGCCGCATGGAGCCTGCTTCTCCCTCTACCTGTGTCTCTGCCTCTCTCTCTATGTCTCTCATGCATGCATAAATAAAATCTTTTTTAAAAATTGTTTTTTAAAGAGAAAAAGAAAGGTAAATTTTATGGTATGCATATTTTACAATTTTTAAAAAGCTAAAAAAAATAACATGTGAAGAACTGAATTCATATTCTTCCCCCTAGATCTGCTCTCTGACCTTGATTTGCTTTTCCTTTTTTTTTTTTAAGATTTTATTTATTTATTCATGAGAGAGAGAGAGAGAGAGAGAGAGGCAGAGACACAGGCAGAGACACAGGCAGAGGGAGAAGCAGGCTCAGCCCAACATGGGCTCAATCCTGGGTCTCCAGGATCAGGCCCTGGGCCAAAGGCAGGTACCAAATTGCTGAGCCACCCAGGCTGCGCCTAATTTGGTTTTCATAAATATTACTGCCATACACTAGGTTGCTCAAACCAGAAATCAAGGATCCAGGAGTCCTCCACTTGTCATCTCCCTTACCTCTGTCACCAAAGACCTCCTTCCCACTGCTCCCTCCTTGGTACAAAACACACTATCCCTCCTGGCCCTGAGGATGACAAGGCCTCTGACTGGATGACAAGCCCCCACTCCACCCCCCCATCCCTCCACCCCTACCCCATCCTCCATCTGCCACCGCTGCCACAGGGCCAGCCTCCTCACAACCTCCCCAACTGGAACAGGAGAAAGTGTTTACAATCAAGACTCCATCATGTCACTCTTTTGATTAGAATCCCACACCATCTTCCCACCAACCTCACACTGAACTCCCAACTCCCCAGCTGGGCTGCCACCTGGTCCAGGCCCTCCTCTCCACATGCTATGCCCTCCACCTGGATCACCACCTCACCCCAAACTGCCAGCTCCGGAGGGAAGCCTTCCTGAGCTGGGCCTTGTACCAGGACAGCCCCTTGGACATTTTCCCTTATAATAGCGGGGACCACAGTTGTCTTTACACGCAGCAACTCAGATGTTCACAGTGGGGCGTGCGGGGGCGGGGGGGGGTCTGGTCTGCTGCACCCAGAACTGGCTTGGCACATGGTAGGCACAAGGCATGTATGTTGAGTTAAATCCCTGCCTCAACTGGGCTGAAGCTCCCCGAAGGCAGAACCTGGGCACCCCCTTCTCACAACCGCACCTGGCCTCACTCCATGGGAGGGGCACACGGCCTCTCAGAAGCCACTGCACGAACTCTCCATATCCCCCCGGGCTCCTCGCAGGGCGGCCCCCAGGGCCCTCGGGCCGGGCACAGTGGGCCCGGGCGCTGGGCGGGAGCGGCTGGGGCAGGACTCCTGCGCGCGAGGTGTGGGTGGCCGCCTGCGCAGAGCCCCTAGACCGCGGACCGGGCTGCCTCACCTTTCTTCAGCAGGGTCCCCAGGACCCGGGAGAGCTCGAGGAGGACAGCCGTGCCACTGCTGGGGTCCACGGCCCCGTGTACCCAGCTGTCCCGGTGGTTCCCGTACAGGACATAGCGGTCTGGCAGGAGCGGCAGAGACCAGAGACCGGGTTAGGAGGGAGATGGGTGGGGCCAGCCGGGCGGGCGCGGGGTGGGGGGCACGGCCAGAGGGCCCTGGGGGCGGGGCAGGCCGGGAGTCTCTGGGAGCCCCGAGGGGGCGCTCACCTGGCTCCACCGCCCCACGGATGATCCCCAGGACGTTGGAGGAGTTCCGCAGCTCCAGGCGGTTGTAGACACTCACGTTCACCTGGCTTGGGGAGCCAAGGGGGCAACCAGAGTCTTGGCCCTGCCCACTCCCTCCCCCCATGCGGGGGAAACTGAGGCCCAGGGCGAGAAAGTTAATCCAATGATCAAAGACCTTTCTTAGGCCGCAAGCAAACCCCAAAACTTTTTGTTGGCTTTTTCCTGTGCTGCCTCCCACACCCCCTGCTCCCCCTTGCTCCCCACACTGGCCTCAGGCTGGAAGCCCTTCCTCCATTGAAGTTACTGTTTTAAAGCAAAGTTTACAGTGTCAGTTAGCTGCCCAGACCCTGTCTCCACCCTTCCTCCACCCCACCCTGAGGAGTCAGGAGAAGCTGGGGGAGTCAGAAGAGCTTCTGGGGGCTCTGCTCACCCGACTCTGCTCTTGGCCAGCCTGGAAGATGGAACGAGGGCAGAGGAAAGAAGATGCACAGCCCAAGGGGTTCTCATTTCCTTAGGCTGTGAGCTCTGAGCCCTAGTCCCAACCCTGCCTGCATCCTGGGACCTCTCCAGACCCCAGGCTAAGACCAGGTCCCCCATCGCGCTGGGTGTGTGGATTCCAGCAAAGGAGTCAGAAAAATGCTATGACTCCACAGACCCCTTGTGGGGGACCCCAACTTAGGCTGAGGATTGGGTGTGTTGGATGCTCATGGTACCCCTGCCAGGCCTCTTTATTTATTTTATTTATTTATTTTATTTTATTTTATTATTTATTCATGAGAGACAGAGAGAGAGAGAGAGAGAGAGAGGGAGAGCACATACACAGGCAGAGGGTGAAGAGGACTCCATGCAGGGAGCCTGATGTGGGACTCGATCCTGGGACACCAGGATCATGCCCTGGGTCGAAGGCAGGCGCTAAACTGCTGAGCCACTCAGGGATCCCCCTCAGCCAAGCCTCTTTGCTGAGAAGACTCCTTGGACTATTTCCCAAGGACCCTCCACATACACCCTTTCACAAGCCGCCCCTCCTGAGAGGAGGGGGCCCTCTGCCCCTCTCCCCCGTGTACTGCCCACCTGTGTTCTGCTTGACCAGCACAGAAATATTAAATGTACTCTATTCACCAGGAAAAAAAATGGAGCAAGTCCTGTTCTTCTGATTCCAGTTCTTCTCATGGACTCAGGTATTTTTTGGATACCTAGTGTATGCCAGCATCATAGTAGGCTCTGGGCAGTGACTGGACAGACACAGCCCTGCTCTTGTGGGACCTCCCTCCCCTGAAAGAGGCAAACCCCGAGGAAGTAAGCCACTGCAGGCGATGAAGTGGCATGAGAAGGACACTAACAAGTCAACCTGTGAGAGGATACCTAATGGCAGGTTGAGGATGTTGGTCCCAGCTAGGAATGGCAGGAGTGTAGGGAAGGGTGTTCCAGGCAAAGGGAACAGCAAGTGCAGAGGTCTTGGTTTGCACTTGGCATGTTCAAGACAGGAGGTGGCTGGAGAGTGGAGGTCATAGGTGAAGTGGGGGTGAAACTCCACAGGGCCTTGTGGGCCATGCAATTGTTTCACTGGCTTCCCCAAAGACAGGACAGGTATCCCGAGAAAGTTGGGAGACAGAAGAAAGGGAAAGGCTAGGCCTTGAGATGGGCAGGGAAGCCTACCAAGGGAAGAGGAAAGGAGCCTTGAGGAGGAGGAGCCCCATCTCACCTGTCTGCTGGGAAGTCACCATTTGGCTGGAAGCCAGGTCCCAACTTGTAGTCACAACCCAGTGCTCCCTGCCAGGCAGCTGGGGCCGAGGCTCCTTGGAGGTTGCTGGGGAGGAGGTGAAGGATGTGGGGATTGACGGTTGAGGGCCACTGGAGGGTGGGCAGGGGACCCCCAGAGCACCAGAGCTTACCAGAGAAGGATTTTTGCATCTTCGAAGCCAATAGGTTGAGTGGGAATTGGAGGAAATCCAGAGGCAGTATCTGGATCCAGGCGGAAGGAAGAGGGATTGGCTGGAAGGTACGGAGTCAGGGGATCCCCAAAATACTCATAGTAGGAGCCTCGCTCCACCCCTGATGGAGGCAGGCGCCAGGAGTTTGGGAAGGTCTCATTGGTGGAGCTCTGCCCATCATTGATGTCTGCGGGGTCCGTGTACACCAACACCCCAGCGACCCCATGTTTGGCAGCGTTGACAGCCTGCAGGAGGTGGATGAGGCTGTGTTTAGGGGAAGGGGGAGGTGGGCTCAGGTCCTGTTCCCTGCCTCCTTCCTCGCTGTAAAAGATCTACAGGCAAGATGATATTCATACCAATCCTTCACTGCAGCACTGCTTGCAAAAGACCCTGGGGCATAGGCTGGTGATGCTTATCAGTTGTGGCTGGTACAGAAACGGGAGGCAGGGAAATGGAGGCAGGGTGTGCTCCTGCACCCTTGGTTACAGCAGCACCTTCACAGGAACCAACAGGTGGAAGCAGCTCGAGTGTCCACCGACAGAAGGAGTGGACAAGCAAATGTGGTACCCAACGTGCAAGAGACTATTACTCAGTGTTCCAAAGCAAGGAAGCTCTGACACAGCATCGATGGCCCTTGAAAACATTATGTTCAGTGAAGAAGCCAGACACAGAAAGACAAACAGTGTGTGCTTCATCTTATGTGACATTCCTAGAACAGACACATTCATACAGCCTTCAGAAAGAGGGCAAAGGTTACTGGGAGCCTGCGAGGCAGAAGTGGGGAAGTGGGGGTGTGAGTATTTAATGGGCACCGAGTTTCATTTGAAATGATCACGAGTTCTGGGAATGGATAGTGGTAATGGTTGCACAACATTGTGAAGGTACATAACACCCTTACATTATATACTTAGATTTATTTTATGATTAGATTGGTCTTAATTTTATGCTGGTATATTTTAGCACAATAAAAATAAAAGAGTACATCAAAAAAGGAAGAACAAGGACACAATTTATGTACCAATCAAGAATAATCTCTAGAATGTATTATGGTGAAAAAAAGCACAGCTTGAAACAGTGGATATAGTATGCTGCTTCTATAGAAAAAGGGGAAATAAAAATATATATTTTTATGTGCTTCTTCCAAAAGTAACTGTGGGTAGATCGCACATAAACTTAAAAAAAAAAAAAAAAAGAAAAAAGTAGTTACCTCTTCGGAAGGTGGCATTGCAGGAAAACTTTTCAACTCTAGGGTTTTTTTTAAACTGGGAAGTCTATAATCTGTATAATTCCACCACACCTCTTCTCTCTTTTTTTTTTCTTTTCTTTTTTTCAGCTCTTATTATGGGTACTTCATTGAATACAGATAACATAAAATTTACTGCCCTATCCATTTTATAGCACAAAGTTCAGAGGAATTGAAGACATCCACATTATTGCACTGCTGTCACCACCACCCACTGACATCTTCTACTTGCAAACCTGAAACTCTGCAGTTTCACTTAACACTAACTCTCTATTCCCTTTTCTCAGTCTCTACCTTCTTAAATTAGAAGAAAACACACACACACAATTTTTAAAAAAACTACAGATGTGAAATACTTAGTCAAAAGTTTTAGTTGAAAAGATGCAGACTGGGAAGGAGGGCAAGAGAAGGGATTTAAGTTGAATATTCAGAAGAACTACTTTGCTGGAGAACTTAGACTCCCAGCATAGCAAAGCTAAAAATGTGGGCAGCCTGGGTGGCTCAGCGGTTTGGTGCCGCCTTCAGCACAGGGCAGGGCGTGATCCAGGAGTCCGGGGATGGAGTCTGGGTTCCTTGCAAGGAGCCTGCATCTCCCTCTGCCTGTGTCTCTGCCTCTCTCTCTCTCATGAATAAATAAATAAAATCTTAAAAAAAAAAAAAGCTGAAAACTTTGCCTGATGCATTTATTTCCTCAGGCTCCGTGGGGTCAGGGGAGGCATCCAATGGTAACAGCACAAATCCAGCTCCCTGTTCTGGCCTAGCCCAGGGCTCCACACCCCACCCAATGCTGCTCCGCCCCTCCCCCACCCCACCTGGCTGCTTGCACTGGAGACTACCACTCACCTTGGCCCCACGTCCTGTGCCCCCATATCGGGTCAGCGCAATGGTGCCTTCTAATTTGATGCCCTGAGCCTGTAGCTTCATGAAATCTTCTTCTGTTCCCTGGTTGGCATAGACCAGGAGGCCCTAGTCCCAAGAGGAGGTGGTCCTTAGAGCCAGGCCCAGCAAAGAGGGAGTGAGGAAAGGAGAGGGAGGCTGAGTGGCGGGATGATGGATTTGGATTCTATTTTCCCACTTCACCCAGACCTTGTAAGCTCCCCAAGAAGAGAGTCACCCGTGGCTTTCTCTGTGTCCAGATACCCTGAAGCAGGCCTGGTCTTGAGTAGGGGCCATTAGTATTTGTAGAATGACTAGGTGATGGGCAACAGGAGTAGCAATGGAGGAATGGGGGGCAGGGCAAGCTCCTAGGCCAGGAAGGGAGGAGTTGGGGTGGAGGGCAGGATGTTCCAGGCCCACCTGTGGGGTTCCCGGGGGAGCATAGGCTGCGTATGGGGGTACCACATCGGGCCCCCCCTGCTCCCCAGTCAGGTTCTGTTCGCTCTGGCGGCAGGAGAAGAGGACATTCCCGGTGGGACTCACTGTGGAGGAGGAGCAGTGTCAGGGCTGGGCCTGGCAGCTGCCCACCCCACAAGCATCCCCAATCCTGAGCAACAGCTCACCGACAGCCACGCGGTTAGGCTGCTCCCGACTGGGGAAGGACAGCAACACTTCATAGGTGGAGGCCTCAGCTGAGTCCAGGCCTGACTCCGGGTCCCGCCAGCGCTGCAGCAGCAGCTGCACCAGTGCCTCATCTTGGGGGCTAGAGGCCAGGTGAGGCTCCCTGGAGAGTTCTCTGTAGGGTGGAAGGAAGGACAGGACGACCAGGACCAGGGTTAGGGAGGCCTCTCTGGCCCACCAGAGGGGAGGGGAGACAACCATCTCACCTAAGGTTCTCTCGGATCCTGCTGGCATCCAGCTGTTGCATGATGCTCTCAAGGATCTCCAGATCCAGGTCCTGGAAGATGCTGGGAGTTGGTACATCGGCCCCTTTGGGGATGGCAAAGTGGCCCAAGATGATCCCCAGCCCTAAGAGGGCAGCGCCCCCCACTACCCCCCCAAGCACATTCACCCACTGCATCCTATGGAGTCTTAGCAAGCTGGAGTCACTCCTTACAGATGAGTGTTGGTCTAGTTAACCATTACCCTGTGGGTGGCCCTGCCCTTTGGCCTCCAGCTGTCAGGGAGAGTCAGGGAGTGTCAGGGAGCATCCTGCAGGGAGGGCCAGGAGCAGTTACATCTACCTCGATTTTTGCTGTCAGTTACCTGGAAGGGACTCCCCGGGGAGTCAAGCGCACACAGACACACTGAGATCCGGGGAGGGACAAGGTCTCAGCCAGATCTCCCAGTAAAACAGGCCGAGCCAGAACGGGAACTCAGACCCCTGTTCAGAGCAAGACTGGGCCTGCTCCCTACTATCCCCACCTCTGTCTCCTCGGTGTTGTGGAGGCCGAGAAAATTAAGGCCATTCCACTTTAAGTTCAGCGTTATCACAAGTACAGTCATCCCAGGCCCCTGTGAATAAGAGCTGAACTTTACCTTCCATAAGTTACAGGAAGAAAACAGCTTACAGCTTAATGTCCTAGAAAGCCCCATATCATAATAAAAACAGAGCCCAAGCCAAGGGCAGGAAGCCCCTATTAGAATAAGAACAGAGCTCAATGCCCTTGAAGGCCCCATATCAAAATGTAAACACAACTTGAGGAATTGCTCCAGCCCTTCTGGAGGTTCCCTAGACCAGTCCTTAAAACTAAGCTGAAACCCACCTCGGGGTCCAAGTCCCTGCTCCGCTGTGTCAGGTACACTTGGACCCAAGCTCGAGCTTGTAAATAAACCCTCGTGTGTTTGCATCGGTGTCGGCTCCTTAGTGGTTTCTCGGATTCACAATCTTGGGCACAACAGGTGTCATTTGATTTCCAGCATCCCCAGCCCTGGCTGCTTGAGCAGGTTTTGAGCTCAAATGCCATCACCTTGCTAGACATAGGCCATGATTTAGCTTCCCTGAACCTGTTTTCTTAGCTGTAAAATGGGGATAACAGATCTGTTTCACAAAACTGGTGCTGTTTTCATTCAACAAGACCACATCTATAGAAATATATAGCCCAGTGTCTGGCACATAGTGGGAGCTCAGTAAATTTTAGCCACTCCTGCCTCATCTGACTCCCTAAAATGGCAAAGCCTGGAGTTAAAGGAAGAAAGGGCTTCCAGGAGAATTCTCTGTGTGTATCCTGCAGGGGCCCAGCTTATGGGAGGATATGGAACTCTTAGAGAGGGAGGCTGTTCTAGAGGTCAGAGCCAGTAAAGCCCACTTTCTCTTGGTAAGTTGATTTCCTCCTCCATCCCCTGACCCTGTCTGGAATCCATTCATCTGTTCATCCATCCATCCACCTATTTATCCACCCACTCTGCCATTCACTCAACTACCTACTCTTCCATCCATCGATTCATCCATTTATCAATCCATGTATTCACCTGTCCAACCACCCAGCTATCCACCCATCCAGCCATTTACTCACCCACCCATTTATCCATCCCCTTCTATCCACCTATCAACCCACCCTCCCACCTATCCATTATTCACTCCTTCACTAATACCTGCAAGCTTCATGCATTCATTTATCTCTGCAAGACCCATGCTAGGTCCTGAGGAGGAAAAGGTGCCTAGATTCAGGCACTGGGAGATGCAGGGATTCAAGTCCAGCAGGGAGACAAGCGGGCCTTGGACTCAACGATGTGGTAAGTGCCCCTATAAAAGGAGGACCACCAGTGTGTTCCCAGTGGGGAGAATGAGAAATTCTAAGAGGGAACATTTGAGTGGATCTTCCAAGGTTGAGAAGGCATTCAGCAGGCTGAGAGGGCGAGGGGGAGACCATCCATGCAAATCACCCAGCAGGTGCACTGGGAGAGGGAGAGGAAAACACCAAGTACTCAGTACAACTACTGAGCTTTTTCCAGGCCCCATAGAGCCAGGCAGGGTTGGGGAGGTCCCTGGGGCTCAAGCTGTGAGTTCTCCTACCCTCCATAGTCTATCCTGCCTTGGGGCTCTGCCCACCAGGCTGCAGCCCATTGGTTTTCCCAAAGATGCCTGGAGAGCTGGGGGAGTTAGGCCACAGTACACTTGTGTGTGTGTGTGTGTGTGTGTGTGTGTGTGAGGGATTTCACAGCCCATGCTCAGAGCAGCCCCACTCCTGCTCACAACCCTGTTTTGTGGGTGCCATCTGCCCCTCCCCCTCCCATGTCCATCTCCCCTTGTGCTGCTGGTCAGGAGGATTAGTGTGCTAGCATGGGAGGACTATGGATGGGGTTTAGTGTGATCAGTGACCTGAGGGAGGCACACCACAGTTTTGGGCCAGGTGATGATCAACGTTCCAGAGTTCCAGATATGACCTTGGATCTTATCAGAAGCCCATCTGTGTGTGTGTGTGTGTGTGTGTGTGTGTGTGTGTGTGTGTGGCTGAGGCACATACATTCCTGAGGACTCAGGAGGCCGTCAGTGGGAGGAACATCCAGATCAGTTGATAAGTTGAGGAGCAGACAAGGTAATGCCATCCTGAGGTCCCACGCCGCCCCCTCCTGGAAGGATTTAGCCCCTGGGACACGGGAAGTTCTGGACACGTGGAGAAGAGTGTGTAACATCTGTGTGTGACATCTGAGAACTCCAGCTCAGGCTATTGGAGTCAGCTGGTGTCTACACTGCTGGTGTTTGTGCTGCCAGACACAAACCTGGTCAATTTTCCTTTCCCCATCTTGGCTAGGTGGGTGGTGTGGCCCCTCCCTGGACATTCTGGATTGTGGTGTTGATGAAACCACTGAAGGTAGCAAAGGCATTTCCTTTTCTTTTCCTACTTCGCTCATGGATCCTAGTGATTGAAAGAGTTCTGGGGTCCCTACAGAGCCCCTGATCCATCGGTGCCAGCTCTTCCCGCTTTCCCTCTTCTCCCTCTGGCCCAGCTCCTTGCAAAGCCTCTCCACCCCCCAGTCCTCTCTGCTTTAGCCCCCTTCACTGGGGGAAGAAACCTGACTCTCTGCCCACTCTGCACCTGTACTCCTTGACTCTGAATGTGCCTGCAGAGTCACAAGATCTCACTGGTCTTGCTTTATTTTATGACCCTGGGATGCCTGGGTGGGCTAGTGGTTGTTGAGACTCTCTGCCCTTAGCTCAGATCACGATCTTGGGGTCCTGGGATGGAGCCCTGCATCGCGTTCCCTGCAGGGAGCCTGCCCTCCCCCTACCTGTGTCTCTGCCTCTCTGTGTCTCTCATGAATGGATGAATGAATGAATGAATGAATGAATGAATAAATTTATGATCTCAAACCTCAAACAGGCCCTCAGCACTGCCCAGCAATCCCACTGTATTCTCTGGTCCTGGCCTGCTCACTCTTCCCTGTCTCTAGAGGGCAATTCTACTCCCACTCTGCTGCTCCGGCTTCTTGGAACACTGTTCCCCCAGTCATCCTCGGGGCTTCTCCCTCAGGCCCTCCACATCTTTGCTCCAATGTCACTTCTCCAAGAGATCCTCCCTGCTGCTCTACCTAAACTGTGTTCCTTCACCTCCCTCAGGCTTCCTCCTCAGTCTTTTTTTTTTTTTTAAGATTTTATTTATTTACTCATGAGAACACAGAGAGAGAGAGAGAGAGAGGCAGAGACACAGGCAGAGGGAGAAGCAGGCTCCACGCAGGGAACCCGAGGTGGGATTTGATCCTGGGTCTCCAGGATCACACCCTGGGCTGAAGGCGGCGCTAAACCACTGAGCCACCTGGGCTGCCCCTCTTCCCTCTTTCCTTCCATTTTTCTTCATCACATCTGTCACCATCTGACTTACCCATTATTTCTTGTCTCCCCTTCTAGAACGGAAGTCCTACTGGGGTAGGGGTCTTTACTTTATTCACCGCTGAATCCCCAGAGCCCAGAACAGAGCACACAGGAGGCATGCAGCAAATGCCTGTCAAATGGATGAGAAGCTGATTTCTCAGCTCAGCTCCTCAACACCGAGCACTCATGCTCCAGCTGTCTCGGATTTAAGGTGTGTCAGGTGCAACCTCAAGGGATTCAAAAGGTGGCCTCAGAACACCTGGGAAACAGATTCCATCTGAATGAGCCCCAGTGGGATTGCTGAGCCAGCCATGGGCGGGGAGGGGACTGCATAACACGAGTGCCTTCACAAGATGGTGATGCGGAATCTGGAGCAGGTTGTTTCTAGAGGATGCTGCTGCCAGGCTGCAGGATCGGGCCACCTTCTCAGGCAGGGAGAGCAGCCCCTTTAGGCTGGGCAAGAGTTGGGAGACTGCTGGGGTCCTTGCCCACCCCACCCCACCTCACCCCTGCTTCCAGGGGCCTCTGAAGCCAGGGTGGAGGCCTGGGTAGATCCACTAGCTGGATTCCAGGGAGTGTCGGCAAATTGCCAAAACTCACTGGAATACTAACCATTCACCAAGCCCGCATTAGGTCACTAGTCCTCTGAAGGGCCTCTGAGGTGGGCACTGCAATTAACCCCATGTTACAGACAAAAAAGAACACACAGTCACTCAGTCAAGGTCACACAGGCTGCACAGGGCAGCGGAGCCGAGATGAGTGCCCAGGAGGGGGGCCTCTTGTCCACAAAGCTACACCAGCTCTCTGCCTCAGGGCAGGGTGAGGCATCGTGCTTGCCCCTCACAAGAAACAGAATCATGGGGATAGGGGAGGGTGATTTGCTAACCCCGCTTCCATGCCTTGTTGACAGAGAGGACTGGAAGATCTGGGCATAGCTTGTGATTGACACAGCAGCCTGCTGTGACTAGCAGCTCTGGGGGAAGTGTGTGTGTGTGTGTGTGTGTGTGTGTGTGTGTGTGTGTGTGTGTACTCGCACATGCCTGTGTTGGTAGCTTTGCTGTGGGACCTTCCCTTGAAATGGCCTTCCTGATGGGGCAGCAGGACTGGAGGGATGCTGTGTCCACAGGAATGGCTGTAGGGACTGAGCTCTGGTAGTCAGTACAATGCCAGGGCCTTTGGGGCATCAGTCAGCACTTCTGTGGTTACGAGTCAACTGGGGAGAAGGCTCTGGAACAGACTCCATTTCCTGTATTCATGTAGCTACATATGCCTGCTGCCCCAGGCCGAGATCCTGGAGGCTTTTATTTATTTTAAAGATTTTATTTTTTTATTTTTATTTTTAAAGATTTTATTTGTTCATTCATGAGAGACACAGAGAGAGAGGCAGAGACACAGGAGAGGGAGAAGC